ACTCCCAGGCCTGGCGCTCATCAGCACCAGCTGCCTAACGTCAACAGCGCCTCAACAGGTAAGTATCACCATAGCTTACTTCTTCCCCTTCGATCTCTCTCTTCTCTTCCTCTCTCTATAGTCCTGGTCTACTCTCACTCATCATGCATGCACACTCCCTATCACACGAGGATCTACTCTGAATACTACTCACTGGTGTCTCCTACTGACTATCCCTACTAACATACTAACTAGCGCTGGCGCAGCTATGGCTGCCTTCCCTCTAGCCAGCACTCTCTTCCCTCTCACATAGAGCTGCTCTTCAGCCTAGCGCAGCTCACACACATCTAGCGCACAAGTGCCACGGCACTTCCACACTCTTATGCGAAGTGAGCATCTGTCCAAATGGGTGGCCGGCCAGTTCTTTATAGTGCTGGACTGGCCTGGTGTGCCCTGCATTCAGCCTCAAGTGTCTGGGACTCTTGCCCAGTACCCGTTGTTGCAAAGTGTATGTCCCAGTATCCTTTCCCATGGTCTGCTGTTGCTTTGGGCCATCGGGCCTGTCTCTTGGACTCCTGGTCTGAATCAGGACTGACTCGTGGGATTATGACTGGACTTGGACTGTGGCCTCTGACTTATTGCCGAACAGACATGACTTTCCATGGAGGAGGCATGACCCTAACTCCGTCTTGAAAACTATGTCCAATACCTGTTCGTGCAGGACCTGTTTGTGATTGTTGAAACCGACTTTTCACTTCATTATGGATGCGACATGTCCTTTGGGTTGCCGCTCGTGGATTTAAGTTCTGGCCGACAGGGCCCCTCGCTGTTGGGCATACATCTGGGGTCTTATTCGTAAAGATCCTTTTAGAGGGATGAAGGGAGGGAGAGAAACAGATGGGTGGAGGGAGGAAGAGATGGAGGGAGGGAGAGATGGAGGGATGGATGGAGGGAGGGAGGGACAGAGGGATGGACAGAGGGAGGGATGAAGGGAGGGAGGGAGGGAGAGGAGGCATTCTTCTTCTTCTTCTTCCTTTTCGTCAAGAGAGTTGGTTACTATCTCAGGAGTTGCCTCCCAGATTTGGACTCGACATTTGGGCGGTGACTCTTGAGAGATGGTTAATGGAGGCCTGAATTTTTCAGACAATTTGTCTCGCGATTTATAACAAAACCCAAGGGCCGTTTTAACCAAAGTTGCAACTANTTGAGAGATGGTTAATGGAGGCCTGAATTTTTCAGACAATTTGTCTCGCGATTTATAACAAAACCCAAGGGCCGTTTTAACCAAAGTTGCAACTAATTCATAGAGTAGACACCATATTAAGTAACTGCAAATGTCGGCAGAATTGCACTTTCATGCAAATTTTGCCGACATTCCAGGGCTGCACCGGCCACCGGCCGGTTGGACCTGACCGGACCCAACCGGGCCGGTTGGAACCCCGGTGGTCCAACCGGAATTCCGGTTGGGCCCAAAACCGGGTCAATTTTTTTTAATTTTTTTTTTGATGATGGGTTTGGACTGCGCTTGTTGAGATCTCCCCGAATCCGCAGAGAACACGTTGCTGCCTTGCCGCCATCATGCCAAGGCACCGGAGTTAACCGAGGTTCTCGACGCCGGTTGGATTCGTCCCAAGGGTTACCCCAAGGAGATCGTTTGTGACCGCGACACTTGGTTCATGTCCGATTTTTTTGGGGGGGTTGGCGCTCCTCAAACGATATGGCTCATCTCATTAGCAGCATGAAGCTGCCCGTTGCTCGACCCGTGCGGAACTTCAGGCACAGCCCCCGATGTTCCCACACGTTACGAACGCAAGTTACAAGGCAAGCCGGTATCTTCGGCTCCACGCCATGCTCGCGTGTTCCACCAACTGATACATGCTCAGTCGAGTAATGTATATGGAGCCAAAGATCCACAAAGTGATGAAAAGGACTCGTATGGACAATGCAGTGTCAGCAAAGCATCAACCAGCAATGTACCTCTAGAAAATAACACGACGTAGCGCAATGGAAGACTCAAAGATATGACCTGACCGACTAGATACTGACACGACCTCCCATCATATATCACACATGTGAGAGGACGAGGAGGGACCGCATACATGGAAGAAAGGTCCCTCCTCGTACACACACATGGGGAAGATACCAGGGATGAGAGATGGGGGAGAGGCAGGACGAAGATGGAGGTGAGGAAGAAGACCAAGATCGCGATAGCGAAGTCCAGAAATAGCCTCCCTGCCACAAAATGTCGAATCAGATCCTGGGCCAATGCCCGATGTAACCTCTGCCTTTAACCTCTCTCTCTCTCTCTCTCTCTCTCTCTCTCTCTCTCTCTCTCTCTCTCTCTCTCTCTCTCTCTCTCT